TTCAAAAGTTATATAAACTATTACATCAAGCCATATATACCACTTGTACTAGAAAGTAAATCCTATAAAAGTTACTAACTATAACCACCACAACAAATATATACATCTTATTAGTCCACTTATAACAAGTACTAGGGTAACATCAGTTATTCTTTAAACCAAAAGTCTATACACCTTCCCGAGAGATCCCCGCGTTGGCCCCTGCTACGGAAAACAAATGGAATGGGGTAAACTATATGCTTAGTGAATAATCAGGGGTAAAATGTAAAATCACATCCAAATAAACATGTAGACCAAGATATTTCACATCAATAGACAGAAATGTAACATCACAATGGTAGGATACGGGTGGCTTCAAAACCAGTTCATTTCTCCGAGTTTGAACGCCTGTTGATACTCCGTCAACCAAAATACTCATGGTCCGTAGACTCCACTTACTTTCCCCGTTCACCTTATCAACCCCCGCTGGCCAGTCAACATCACACAGCAGCTCGAGCGAAACAAAATCACTTAGCTTTAATCAAAGCTTTAACAAAGAACGAAATCCCAAGATTAGCATGGAACTAACTTCGACCAAGCCCCGGGTGGCTCGAATAGTCCGTCTACCCTTGGAACTGGGTTGGAACCAAGCCCTAAGATATCCAATCTCTCAATAGATGATATCTCTCAACAAAGTACTCACTCCAACAGCACAAGGGGTTCAACACAAGTCATGAATCACCCCAACAACACATAGCAAAAAGGGTGATGCTCAACACAAGGCATGTATTCTCACATATTACATCAAGAACAAAAGATGGGCTTAGGTTGAGTGAGATAAAGTACACCCTCGCCTGAGTACCCATTTAACATATACAAGGTACTTTGACAATTTATCATATAAGCCAACCCAATTACTCACTCAAAATAGTTAGCACGCAAATTAAGGCACTTTATACGGGTCCACTGACTCTGTCCGGTTCGTCGCTACCTGTGATAGAAGATTATACTCAACTATCAGTTAATCGACCATCACAAATAGAAATAAGGACTAAAACGATTAAAGCGGCGAAAACGGCAAAGAAGTGTATGCGCGCGTGCGCAGAAATGAAAACGGTATATAAACGGGTTACACGGTTTTGACCATAACTAGAGCTGTGGTTATCAGACCAAGGTATACTATGTAGCTTCTCGAAGCTAAGACAAAGGGTTACAACTTTCATGAAAACAACTCAACCCAGTTTTAAGTGGATCTAGGTCACATTTGTAGATTACAGAACCAAAACTCCAAAGGCTGGTTTATGCCTCTAGTAAAAATTTGGGCGGCATGCCCCTTGTGTTTACCTATTTTTCAGCCATTTATGACCTCATTATTTTTCTCAAATCAGCCCCAATGTCACACATAGGTAATGTTACGACAATAGCTCTTCAACTAGGCTCAAAATAATCCAATTACAACACAAGTTTTAACAAGGCAACCGAAAATCAAGTTTAAAGGCAAATAGCTAAATGGCAGATTTGATGTCTCTTAGCGTTTTGGTCACAACTAAAGCTACGCTTATCGGTTTGGGGTAAACGTTGTACCGTTTTGAAGCTAAGACAGATAACTAGAAGTCTCATGAAGACATCAACAATCAGTTTGTGCATTTTCAATATCAAAATGTGACATCTCAGAGGAAAACAGAAACTGCCCGCAAAACTGTACATTTGGTAGTCAATGGTATTTTGGTCATTTCACATGCTACAGTGCTCCAATTGATCTGAAATTTTACAGAAAACTATACAACATCATTTTCTACAACTTTCATGTTTTGAGCTAAGCTTAATTCAGCCTCCATCATGGCCGAATGGAACTGGTCAGAACAGGGCAATCTAAAAACTCAAACCTGGAATTTAGTGAATTCAAAGTGTAAACTTCACATTTCTAGCTTGAACCACTACTACAACTTCCTATACAAGATTATATATATCATATACCATCTAAACAACAAGAAATATAAGTGAACAATTCAAAACCCTAACCCACAAATCCATAACCACAATCATGAAAATCACTTAAGTAGGTATCACAAGCCAAGAATACAAGTTGCTACATAACTTAAGCAAGATTAAGGGAAAGAAATAGGATGAGCAGCCATAATACCTCAATAAAATGCTTGCAAGAGATATCTTTCACCTCTCCTTGAAAAATTTTAGTTCCCCAAGCTTCCTAAGCCCCAATTTAGAGATTTCTTGATTTCTCACTCAAATAAGCTAAGCTTAAGATAGAAATGGAGTTTTCTTTCTCTTGTTTTCTCCCTCACGGCGCACGGCTGGAATGGCTGAAATGAAGAGAAATTTAAGTGATTTTTGGTGATAAATATGGAAGAAATTGGTTGGTCAACAACCATAGGATGATCGTTACTTGTCGCCATGAGATGAACTTTCAATTTTTTTTTCTTTTTCCCTTGTTTTTCTAGTCAATAATTTCGGCCATCAAGAGCTAAGTAAGGGGCTGATATTTTGCACTAATATCAATGATGTTTTATGGTAGGAAAGTGGTGGCCAAGTGGTGTGTTCAATCGGTAGTGAACGATACCCGTCGGCTCAAGCCGATTTTTCTTAAATCGCGTATACTAGGGTTTTAACTTATCATTCACTAACTTATTATTATCACCTCTCATCACACACTTAATATCATTTAAAACTCACTCTTAATCACTAAATTTAATCCACACTCCGTACCGAATAGTCACACTACGAAAAGGCGTAAAAACCCTAATTTGCGATAACTTGAAAATGAAAGGAAAAATCCTTAATTCTATGTTCATTTGCACTTTTTGTTGGCTAAATGAGTAGTAAGGTTAGTCTAAAGTAATAAAGTTCAAGTAAAAGGGGATTTTAAGAAAAATATATGGGATTTTACAACTCCATCGATTAAAATTAGGGTTTCGATTAAAATATGAGAGATTTAAGAAAAAACCTGTTAGTCACAAGTAAAACTAGGGTTTTGAGTACAAGTAGGGTTTCTAGTCTTTAAAACAAAACAATGTCTTAAAATAAAAATAAAATAAAGAAACGTAATATCCTTTTTGAGACTAAACAAAACATTCTCCTAAAGTCAGGGTATTACAATCTCCCTTCCTTAAAAGAATTTCATTCTCGAAATTGCAACCTATAAGCCAAATCTTCTTACTCTTTTCACAAGTTAAGGGTTGGAATACTCTAATACCTCATTAATGAGTTCATCATTGACAATAAAATTCACCTCAAAAGTTTGTCCCTCTATGTAGTCCAATCCAAGACCAAGTCTCAATGGTCTTTACGTATTCTTAATGAACGCTGAACGTCTCATAGATCGAATTCCATAAAATTTTAACAACATAATAATTCCGCTGTACTCGGCCTTAATCTATTAGAGCGAATAGAAGGAAACCTCAATACGATGGAAGATATGGAGGGTACCTTCGATGATTGCTAATGGGTCTGTCACCTCTTGACGTCCCATTGCATAGGTCCTTGCCGGCACTTTCGGTCGATTTCTCTTTGCATTGGTCAGCTTAGAAGTGTTCCCTTCTGCCATTGGCAAATTTCCTTCTTTTGGCAGGTGAGGGCACTGAGCAATCAGGTGCTCAGCACTACCACATCGGTAGCATTTCCGAACTTGGCCTTTCTTCCAACAATTATCTTCCATGTGGTTAGTAGCTCCACAAAATCCACATGTCATTCTAGGTCCTGATGTCGGACCCCCTCGTGAGGTACCTTTTTGGGTCTCTCTTCTTGCCTGATCCTTCTCAAAATTTCCTTGATTTGGGATCCCTGTGGATTGTGGACCACCTATTTCTCGGCCTATCTTAGATGGTGGCTCGCTTCTCGAGCTCTGTCCCTCTATATAACTGTTTGTATCTGGTTGTCTTATTTTCTTATCATGAAAAGCCTTTACTTGACTGTTAGTACTTTCAATTCTTTGTGCCTTTTCAATCGCTTGACTATATGTCTCCAATTGAGCAGCTGCAAGTGCCTCTTGAATCTCTACGTTCAAACCCTGGACAAACCGACGAATTCTCTTTCGGTTTGTTAGCACTAACTCTGGAGCAAAACGAGAGAATTTGGTAAATTGTGTCTCGCACTCCGCCACACTCATAGTCCCTTGACGTAGTCGTATGAATTCATCCTCTCGCCTTTCTTGAACAAGTGGCAGTAAGTACTTCTCATTAAACTCACGGGTAAAATTAACCCATGTCCAGGGGGTTTGCTCTCTATCCCATTTGGTTCTGATCACATTCCACCAGGCACAAGCCGCCCTCTCAAATTGAAAAATAGCAAAAGCTATCTGCCGTTCCTCCGAGTATCCTAACGCTGCGAAAATATCTAACATTCGATCCAACCAACTATCCGCTATATCAGGGTTAGATCCACCTAAAAATTTTGATGGTAGAAACTTCTGGAACCATTCTAAGGCACGGTTCTCTCCCTCATAATTTCCGGGATGCTGTACCTGGCCTTGACCCTGTTGGTTAATCACTCGTTCTAACAAATCAGCCATTCGCTGTACGGCTGTAGCTACTTGGGTCTCAGCCTGTATATTCGCATTTTCATTTGTTACCCCTTCGGTGCTTTGTCCTTGTCCTCTACCCCTACCTCGACCACGGGTCTCCATTTGATTGTTTTATAACTTTTATAATTGGAACAAAATATGGTACGAGTTCAAAGCGTGGAAAATTATAAAATGCATGAAATGGTTAAAATGCCAAAATGTCATATACTAAACTATATACATCTATATACAATTCACGCCAAAATATACACATTAATCCACATAATAACTAACATCCAACCAATATAAAACATGTTAGTTCATGAGCACACCGGCTCCAAAAGTCAACAAAACAAGTCAAGGTAACGGCCCTGGCGAAAATTTCCTACAGAGCCCATAGAGTCTATCGCATCCATCGGCCCCGCGCTGCCAGCCCTAGGTAGCGCCTCTGCAGCCATATCCAAGAGAACCTCACAGTTTAGTATAATACCCCGGGTTCTCTCTCTCACCTGCCCTTCAAAGCAAAGAGGTGGCGGTGGGTCTCCTCAAACTGATGACCAAGAGTATATGTCCGCTCCTTCTCAGCTCGTAACCCCTCCTCGAGGTCACGCAGGCGCACGCCCTGTCCATGGCTCACTCTTTTGGCCTTTTCCAACTGTGCCCTCAGAGTGTCAACCGTCTTACCTAGGCAACGACATTTGTTATCTATACCCATAACTACCCAGCCCTAGGTAGCGCCTCTGCAGCCATATCCAAGAGAACCTCACAGTCTAGTATAATACCCTGGGCTCTCTCTCTCACCTGCCCTTCAAAGCAAAGAGGTGGCGGTGGGTCTCCTCAAACTGACGACTAAGAGTATATGTCCGCTCCTTCTCAGCTCGTAACCCCTCCTCAAGGTCATGCAGGCGCACGCCCTGTCCATGGCTCACTCTTTTGGCCTTTTCCAACTGTGCCCTCAGAGTGTCAACCGTCTTACCTAGGCAACGATGTGACGACCCCATCTTCCCCTAAGGCGAACCAGAGGGGTCGACGGACCGCCTGCCCAGCTCTCGCCAGGACTACGGGTCACAAACAATCGAATCGCGTTTAAATATATAAAGGGAAAATTCAACAAAGTGAACGATTTAACCCAATAACTTGTTCTTATATCCATATTATCATCGTGCAAGAAAGTATAGCGCTCGAGCACTTCAAACGGACAAGAAAACGAAAAACGAAGATTTGCCGCGGATGAACAGTAACCGGCCAAGTCACTATCCGGCCAGAATCCGGCCGGATTCTAGGCCGGATTCTAGGCCGGATAGGAGGCCGAGGCTAAACCAAAATTTCGAAATGTCCCCTGCCAATCCGGCCAACAATCCGGCCGGAAGTTGGCCGGATTGCTCTGGCCGGATTCTGGGCAGTAGCCTGAGTCCAAAAATTTTCTTTTTTTTTTCTTCTTCCCCTGCCTATCCGGCCTTATATCCGGCCAGAAACTGGCCGGATTCTGGGCCGGATTCCAGGCAGTGGTTTTTCCAAAATTTCCTGCTTTCATTTTTAAAACCGGCGATTGCACAAATACACCATATAATGAATCCCAGACTTGGTAAACCATATATACATATCATCTATACATAAGAAAGTGTCCTTATACAATTCAAACACAAACACTAGAGTTCAAATACATCGAAGTTTCAAATGTTCGAGGAGCTTGCAAAACTAACTATATCACGGCTCAACTCATATCAAAACTTGTTTCCAATCATGCTCCTGTAAGGAAAACAAAACGACGGGGGTGAGCTTACGCTCGTGAGGTACCAAATGCACAATTTCATGATACAACCATTAACACATATACATAAACACCTTCATACAAACATACACATATAAAAGGATACATGTGACCCTCAAGGGCCGGTTTCCGTTTGCCATACTTGATCGCACACGTTGACACTCCGTCAACCATTTAAACAAACCAAGGTCCGTAGACACCACTTCGCACCATTTCCTTCCACCATTCACCCCCTATTCGGGCCCGCCGCCTCATAGTTCCAAAAGGGTAATACTCGAGTATACCACAAGGTCGAGGAGTTAACACTCCACTCGCCTATCAAGAACCCAAAGGCTCATTAACGAATCGCCCAAGCCCTTGCCGGCACGACTCGAATAACGGTCTAATGGCATGAGCTCAAATTCACATTAATATTAAGGCATTGCCCCAACAAATGTTCAATCATGTATACATACCATTTCACCTCCAAACGAGAATGATAAATGCAAATAAGTGATCAAGAGCGATCAAGTACACTCTCGACCCAAATCAAGACATTTAAAATCACATCACAAGTATGTTCATCATATACTGGTACACTCACCAAATAAACAAGCAAATCACACGTTCGAGTCAGGAGTAGGTCCCGGTCCATCGGTACGACCTAAAACAAGCAAGTAACCAGATATAAGACTCAAACACGAGTCAAAGTATAACTTTAACTTACTAATACAAGTTACACAAAACAAATAAAATGGAGTAACAACAGTGTGGAATGTGAACAAACTCCCCACTTCATCCATTCTATTCAAATCCTTCTCAATTCAAGACCTCCCATATCTACAATCAATTGGACAGCATTCCCCTTATTTTCTTCACATTTCCAACCTAATGAACAACACCCAACTTGTACCATTGCACTTATGGTTCTTAAACTAGTCCATTCACCCCATTTGAATCACAATACAACCAAATATACATCCATTGCTAGCATGTAAACCATACCTAGAAAAGCCCTAATTTCAACAAACCCTAAAACCAAAATTGCTCACAAATGCTGAAATTTTCTACAATTAACCACCATTAATACATATAAGCTTTAAAACAAGTCATATAAAGCCATCACACCCAACTCCATCATGAGGTATCATATAAAACAGAAAATTCCTCAATAAATAGAAAATTATCACTACTCAACCATAAGTCTTGAAATAAGCCACAAAATGGTATCTTCAACTACCATCACCTATCAATTTCATCTTACAACCAACAAAGAAACAATTCCTAACTTGCTTACCTTACAAAGACTTGATACAAGGTAGAGTAGAGCTTTTCTTTCCAAACAAAAACCACCAACCACTTCAATCCCTCCAAGCAAGCAAGTATTATGGAGAAATTTGGGAGATTAATGGTTGGTTTACAAGATTTGGCAAGGAAATGAAGCAAAAGTTGAAGAGTTTTTCTCCTCTTTCTCTCCTTATGTTGCACGGCCAAGAAGAAAGAAAATGAAGAGATATTGAGTCAAATTTTTACTTTGGTAAAGATGTAAGAAAAGTCAAAAGTCCAAGGGCCAATGAAATTACAACATTTGTCATTCAAGCTTATCTCATTCTTGTGTCTTATAACACTTAATTATAATGGCTAACCTCTAATTAATTCATAACACTAGGTACTAAGCTTCCGTATATAAAATTTCCAAAACTACATTTTACCGTACCAATCGTCTTAGTGGGTCCCGCAACCACTGTGCACACTTAAAAGTACAGAAATTGACCTAAACCCAGAAAATGATGCAAAATTCATATTTTCTCATAAAATTCCCCAGAAAACCCACGGATAAAAGAAAACCCTAGAAATAGACTTAAAAGTCCCCAAAATAAATGCCCGGAAAATAAGAAAATTTTCGGGGTCTCACACTCTCTCCCCCTTAAGGAATTTCGTCCTCGAAATTTCTCACCTGAGTCAGTAAACAGCTCTGGATACTTGGTTTTCATCTCGTTTTCCATCTCCCAGGTTGCCTCCTCAACTCCGTGGTTCTTCCATAGAATTTTCACCAGTGGAATTTGCTTATTCCTCAGCTCCTTAACTTTCCTATCCAGTACTTGCACAGGTTTTTCTTCGTAAGTAAGGGCCTCGTCAATTTCGATCCCTTCCGGCTGGACAATGTGAGTTGGATCAGGGTAATACTTTTTGAGCATGGAAACATGAAATACGTCGTGAATCCGTGATAAGCTCGATGGCAATTCCAGTCGGTAAGCTACTTTTCCAACTCGTTGAAGGATAGGAAAAGGGCCTACGAATCTAGGTTGAAGTTTCTTTCCTCTGCCGGCAGTGACACTACGTAACGGAGTAATCTTCAAAAATACTTGGTCTCCTACTTCAAACTCCAGGTCTTTTCTTCGATTATCGGCGTAGCTCTTTTGGCGACTTTGGGCTGTCTGGAGTCTTTGACGGATTAATTTAATCTTTTCTTGGGCATCCTCCATCCAAGGGATAATGGTAGGGTCTAAGACCTTCTTTTCTCCTACTTCATCCCAATATATCGGTGAACGGCACTTTCGCCCATAAAGGGCTTCGTACGGTGCCATTTGGATTGATGAATGGTAACTGTTATTATAGGCGAACTCTACTAATGTCATGTGCTGTCCCCAATTACCCCCGAAATCTAAAATACTCGTTCGTAACATATCTTCGAGAGTCTGAATCGTCCGCTCCGACTGTCCATCCGTCTGAGGATGATAGGTAGTACTCAAATTCAACTTCGTCCCTAAGGTCTCTTGAAACTTTTACCAAAATCTAGACACGAAGCGAGGGTCTCGGTCGGAAACAATGCTCACCGGCACTCCATGCAATCTCACAATCTCCTCCAGATACACTCGAGCTAACTTATCCATGGAATACTTCATATTCACAGGTAGGAAATGAGCCGACTTGGTCAATCGATCAACGATCACCCATACGGCATCATGTCCTCTTTGAGTCCTAGGTAATCCAGAAACGAAGTCCATAGTAATATGTTCCCATTTCCATTCAGGAATTTCCAAAGGTTGTAGCAATCCCGAAGGCTTCTGATGTTCAGCCTTAACTTGCTGACACACTAGGCAGGTTTGCACGTACTGAGCTATCTCTTTCTTCATCTTGTCCCACCAGTACAATTGCCGCAAGTCACGATACATCTTGTTACTTCCAGGATGGATTGTATACTTAGATCGATGAGCTTCCTCCAAAATTTCCCTTCTCAAATCTCTATCATCAGGTACTACTATTCGATTTCTAAATCTCAAAATCCCTTCAGGGCTCAAATTAAAATTGGGTATTTCTCCTTTCTTCACCTTTTCTACCCACCATTGAACTGTCGGATCCTTAATTTGAGCTTCCTTGATCTTTTCTAAAAACACAGACGTCACTTGGATGTTCCCAAAGATTATTCGATTAGGCTCTAGCTTTGGATTCCATTCTCCTACAGCTCCCAACAATTCCCATTCTTTCACCATCAATCCAGAAATCTGAGCCTTTCGACTTAAGGCATCGGCTACCACATTGGCCTTACCAGGATGGTAATTAATCATATAATCGTAATCCTCCAAGAATTCCATCCAACGGCGTTGTCTCATATTCAGCTCTTTCTGGGAAAAGAGGTATTTAAGGCTCTTATGGTCGGAATAAACTTCAAAGGTCACTCCGTACAGATAGTGTCTCCACTTTTTCAGAGCGAAGACAACTGCGGCCAATTCTAGGTCATGGATGGGATAGTTTTGTTCATGAATTTTCAATTTCCGGGAAGCATAAGCTATCACATTTCGATGTTGCATTAGTACACATCCCAATCCTTCTTTGGAGGCGTCGGTGTAAACGGTGAAACCGTCTGAACCGTTAGGTAAGGCTAAAATAGGGGCCATTGTCAATCTCCGTTTCAGCTCTTGAAAGCTAGTTTCACACCTATCGCTCCACAAAAATCGACCACCCTTCTTTGTTAGATCGGTCAAGGGACTGGCAAGTTTCGAAAAATCCTTAATAAACCGCCGGTAATAACCTGCCAACCCTAGAAAACTTCGAATCTCAGTAGGGTTCTCGGGTCGCTTCCACTCAGTCACGGCCTCCACCTTAGCCGGATCGACCGCAATTCCCTCCTTTGATATCACGTGCCCCAGAAAAGACACTTTGTCTAGCCAAAATTCACATTTGCTAAATTTGGCATACAACTGGTGCTCCCTCAGGGTTTGTAGGACCTCTCTCAAATGTTGTTCATGCTCCTCACGGGTTTTTGAGTAAACCAATATGTCATCGATGAAAACAACAACAAATCGGTCAAGAAAGGGCTTGAAAATTCGGTGCATAAGGTCCATGAAAGCAGCAGGGGCATTGGTCAATCCAAAAGGCATCACGGCAAATTCGAAATGCCCATACCGGGAATTGAAAGCAGTTTTAGGCACATCCTCCTTCTTAATCAACAACTGGTAATACCCCTGTCGAAGGTCTAATTTTGAGAATACCACCGCACCTTGCAATTGATCAAATAACTCGTCGATATGGGGAAGTGGGTAGTTGTTCTTAATCGTCACATTGTTTAACCCTCGGTAGTCAATACAGAGTCTCAAAGTCCCGTCCTTCTTCTTGACAAAGAGAACGGGCGCCCCCCAAGGCGAACCGCTCTCGTGAATAAACCCCCGCTCTAAAAGGTCTTGCAACTGTAGTTTTAACTCTTTGAGTTCCGCGGGTGCCATTCGGTAAGGGGTTTTAGAAATAGGGGAAGCCCCTGGACAAAGGTTCACTTCGAACACCACTTCTCTCTCTGGAGGCAAGTTCACTAACTCGTCAGGAAAAACATCAGGGTATTCACTCACTATCGGAACATCTTCTATTTTCAGCTTGTCAATAGGAGTGTTAATAAGAAGAGCTAGGAACCCCTGTGCCCCTCTACTTAATAATTTCCTAACTCGAATACCCGATATCATAGCAGATGAGGCTAGACTACCCCTCACATCTAACCTCAAAGTTGCCTCCCCAGGAATACGAAATTCGACAGTTTTCCTCTTACAATCCAGCTGAGCATCATATCGAGCCAGCCAATCCATGCCTAATATCACATCATATCCCTTTATGGCTAAACTTATCAAATTCCCCAACAATTTCCGTTCACCTACCCAGATTTCACAATTCGTGTACATTTTACTAGAAATCAAACTTTGGTCCCCCGTAGGTGTACTAACTTCCAATTCATAAGGGAGAGTGACAGGGTTTATATCAATTCCACACATAAACTCGGGGTTAACAAAGGAATGGGTAGCTCCAGGATCTATCAAAATTCTAGCTAGGCGGTGGAAGACAGGAATCGTACCTTCCACTACCTCCGCAGAGTCAGGAACTGGCCGTTGTTCAATGGAGTACACCCGTGCAGGTACCTTTGGTTTGGTACTATCTACCCTCGATTGACTTGAGGTAGCCTTAGACGTCATCGGAGTAGTTCCTCTTGTGTCACGTGCCTGGACCGGACAGTTGGCGAATCGGTGCTCCGCACTTCCACACCGCAAACACTTATTCTGCTTCCTCCAGCAGTCGTCATCCGTGTGATTGGGTTTCCCACAGAAGTTACACGGCCCACGTGCAACAGTAACTGAACTCCCTTGTGCGGTGCTCCTCGGCGGCCCTCGTCCTGGTTGGCTTCCTCGAGAAGGAGCCCCTCGAGCCGGACTCGTAAATCGTCCCCCTCCAGCTCCCCGTCCAAACTTAGGAAGGGGAGGGGTACTCCTATCACCTTGAGTTGAGGTACTTCCAGCAGCTCCACGCTTTCGATTTTGGAAGTTCCTCACCTGGAGCCTAGCGTTCTCGGATCGTAATGCCTTCTCAACGGCATCACTAAAAGTAGTGATCTGGGCAACGGCCAAATCCTTCTGGATTTCCACATTAAGCCCCTGAAGAAAACGCCTAGCCCTCCTTTGTTCGGTTAAAATGAGCTCAGGAGCAAATTTGGATAAACGTGTGAATTGGCTCTCATATTCGGCTACCGATTGCGTTCCTTGGCGTAGACGAATAAATTCGTCCTCTTTCTTCTCTTGAACCAACGGCGGAAAATACTTAGCATTGAATTCCCGTACAAAATTCATCCAGGTCCTTGGTGTCTGTTCTCGCTCCCATTTTGTCCGAATAATATTCCACCATGAGCGAGCAGCACCTTCAAGTTGAAAAACCGCAAAGGTCACTTGCCTCTCTTCCGAGTAACGTAGAGCGGCAAAAATGTCTATCATCTTTTCTAACCATTGTTCGGCCACATTAGGATCGGGTCCTCCAAGAAATTTAGGCGGTGAAAATTTTTGGAATCGTTCGAGAGCTCGATCTTCGCTCTCGACGTGATTTCCAGGGTTTCCAGGATTGCCTATCGGTGGGTTAGGGTTGGGGCCCTGTTGCTGCACCACCTGAGCCAGGAGAGCAGTCATCTGCTGGATAGCAGCGGCCACTTGCACATTAGGATCGATTTGGGGTTCAGGAATTGGTTCGGGCACTTCAGTTCCCGTACCCTGTTCAGTCGTGGGCTGTCTACCCCCACGTCCGCGCCCCCGGCCACTACGCGTGCCTTCCATCGCTCTAGATCAATCTATAATCACAATATACCCATGAATATAACTTTAACACTAAAGGGTACACATCCCTGTACTTAACAAGAAACATGGCCACAAAATCAAACAATCACTTCATAACACACTTAAACACATAACACATAGTCATAGCATTCATAACAAGATCAAACATTTACACCAAAGTAGTCAGTCAAGTACAAACAGGAAGCGTCTTACGGAAGAGGCAATACAAAAGTAATATATACAAAACTGGTCCTATATACAACACGACTAGCTAAGACTCCTTCCCGGCCTACCATTCCGTGTCCCATATATATACAAGTCAAAATCATCCAAAATGGCTTAAAAGCCATTCCCTAGCCTACCGTGGGACTAGAGGACCTATTCGCTTGGGAGGGTTCACTTCCAACCCCACCTCCTACACTAGAACTCTCGACACTCTCGTCCCCTAGTAGGTCTTCACACAAATTTAACATTGTTCCGGCGTTCTCCCTCAGTTGTCTCGCCCTCTTGGTCATACGTTTGCGCATCTCCCCAAGTTGCGTACACAAATCATCCACCCTATCTTGACCCTCGCTCAGGTCATACTCCAACTCCTTAATACGCTCCGCTTGCCTCTTGTTGGCCTCTCTTAATTGTTTCACTTCGGCTTCAATCTTAGCATAATCCTTGGCCAACTCCTTTCGTTCTTTGTCCACCGCAAATACAAGAGTATTGGGATAGGCAAACTTGTGACGGCAATATTGGAGAAAGGGAAAAGGGAAGAAAGTGAATTTTTGTTTCTTTTTTCTTTAATTTTTTTGAGTTTCATTTATTAGATATGTCAATTATATATTCAGTGAGAGATAATATAGTCATTTTGCAATTATAAGGGGGAAGACAAGTGATTATTTTTAAAACCTAACGAGGAGGTTTGTGATATTATCCCAGTAATTAGCCACTCTTTCACCTTTGGTCCATCTTTGGTCACTATTACTACAAGCAAGCACTAGCAAACTCTAGTTCGTTCGGTTGCCCGCCTTAGCTTCTTTCCTTGCCCATAATGTTTTTGCTTACTTTCATGTCAGTTAGGTGCCGCCTTCTCTTCGCTCGCTCACTCTCCATTTATTCTCTCTTTACACGTAACTCTCTGTACAGTCTTTTCTTAGTCTTCTCACACCCGTACACCTGGACTTCAACTGTTTTGTTCCATTAAAGCCATGGTGTGACACTATTTACTGCAGCTCCACTGTCCCATTCCTCTGCTCTGGAAGCAGCAGAGTTTCAAGAATTTCCTAAATAAAATCTTTCATGGTAAATTTCTAGTTGTTTTTGCTGTTCTCAAGTCATCTGTGAGTCCCTTTACCTGTACTGTTCTTTTGGTAAGCTTTGATCACCAAACAGAGAAGAAAAGCACGCTGAATTCTGTTTCTTGATTAAAAGTAGGATTTTCTCTGTTTTGTTTTTTCAATTGATAAGCAGCCTGGTGTTAGTTTGAGTCACTGTTGGTTAAATTCGAGTTCAGTTACTTTTATGTTGGAAAGGAAGTTGAGGTTTTGGAAAAAAATACGAGTTTCGATTGTTTCAGGGATACGAGAAACCGTATTTCCTCTGTTTTCTGAGGGGATACCAAATATGGGTTTTCAGGGTCATTCATGATTAAATTCTGTTTTCTCTGTAATACGTTTTGCTGTTAATTTGATGTAATCAGAGTAGAAATGTTAAGGGAATAAAGAAGGAAGATGCAGCTATGGAGGGACTAGTCCAATTTTGCCATGTCTTTAATGTTTCTTGAAAGAAACTAAGTGGTTCTCTTCTTGTAGTTAGAAAGAGATGAGTGGAAATTTCTTTCTTTCTGTTTTTTCCCTCTGCGGCGACTCTTTTCCTCAGGCCACTAAAGCTGAAGAGCTGAAATTCTTGTCTTTTAGTGTTCAAATTCTTATTAAATAGTTAAGGTGTGACATTTTGTTCATTTCAATTTTGGGTTTTGACAGGTGAATTGTAGGGTAATTTGATTTTGTTGTTGAGGTTATAAATTAAAAAAGGATGGCTTACCAAAGGAGGGGATCGGACCTCCAACCGCAGAGGCGTATTCTGCGGACACAGACTGCTGGTAATCTAGGGGAGTCTATGATGGACAGTGAGGTGGTTCCATCATCACTGGTAGAGATTGCACCAATTCTACGTGTTGCCAATGAGGTCGAGCCAACTAATCCCAGGGTCGCTTATCTCTGTGAGTCCATGACCATTTCAATATCCTTGTGTTGGTTGTTACTTATTACACAAATATGTGCATATGACATCTAAGCAATCCATCATCTAAAAACCGTTGGTGGATATCAACTAATTGGCTGTAAGAGCTGAGTGCATGTCTAGATGAATTTTAATACTGAAGGTTGTATGGCTGTTCAGCTGATAATGTTGTACCAACGTGGTATGAGAAGAAAATATGAGTTTAAATGCTATTAATTTACTGACTGTTATGCTACACTTCTTAATCTCAAACTAGTGTTTCAGTCTGCACAAGTCATACAGGCATCAAATTCTAGTTAAATGTTGTGGTACTAATGCTATCGCCCTCCTTTTTTGTGACTATAGGAAGGATGATAAGTTGTTTGGACATGCTAATGTTTATATGGTTTCCTGAAATTCACTTGTTACAAATTTTGTCTTTTAGTAGATGATTAGTACTCAAACTTTTGAGGCATTTAGAAGGGAATGAATGAAATGTATTTACACCATATTACATACTCTAATGGCCTTGCTGGGGGACTCAGGTCGGTTTTATGCCTTTGAGAAAGCTCACCGTTTGGATCCAACATCAAGTGGACGAGGAGTCCGTCAGTTCAAAACAGCCCTGCTTCAACGTTTGGAAAGGGTAATGTCAAATTTTCATGAAATTGAAATGAAAAAATTGTGTCTAGTTACTCGATGTAACTTTAGAATATTCTAGTGCTTGTATCAGCAAGAGGACTTTGTTATCAGGCTAATCCACCATATTTGGATTACCCAAACATATTCTTGCTGCTTGTCTTCATCTAAAGATGAATGAGCCATTTCTATTCCTACATTTTCCAGTTAAGTTTGCCTGAGCAAATTCGTATAATCTGGATATCTTGACAGGAAAATGATACAACAATAGCTGGAAGGACAAAGAGTGATGCTCGAGAAATGCAGAGTTTCTATCAGCACTACTACAGGAAGTATATTCAGGCGTTGCATGCTGCTGATAAAGCTGATCGGTAGGTTTTCTGCAGTCGTGGGCATTTATTTCTTAACAGCTAAGTGCAGATTCCTTGCTTAATGCTTCTTTATGATCTCTTTTCTGTCCAGTGCTCGACTCACAAAAGCATACCAAACTGCTGCTGTACTTTTTGAGGTCTTGAAGGCCGTTAATTTGACAGAAGCAGTTGAAGTTGCTGATGAGGTATTCTACTTTCTTTCCTTGTAGATCATAGATAATCTTGATTGTACAGGAAAGTATACTGGCAATTTGCAGAGGAAGTCTTTTCTATGCATCTGCTTGAGGAGGTTTCATCCTGTTAATTGCTTCAGTTCTCCATGTACATTTCTTCTGCAAAAGAAGTGGAAAAGGAAAAGAAAAAGAGAGTCAATTACAATAGTTACTCAACCTGTTAATGACAAGCCCCTTTGCTCATGCCGAAGACAAGTTCCTCAATTCATACTCAAAAAAGAGTTCCTTTAGTCATAACAGATTATGATAGCAGTCTCCACTTTTTCCAGAGATTAGATGCTTCCTATTTCCTTGATCTTACATCTTTCCAACCGTTTATACATCCCTAGTTTTTATGGATGTAGATTTTGGAAGCTCACACAAAGGTTACAGAGAAGACAGCAATTTATGTCCCTTATAATATACTACCCCTGGATCCTGACAGTGCAAGTCAAGCAATTATGAGATATCCTGAGGTTCGTTTTAGTAATTTCATCAAATTATAGGTAAGGGCCAGTATTCAGCATATTTATGGACCTTTTGCATTGTCACAGATTCAAGCTTCAGTTTCCGCACTTCGTAATATTAGAGGACTACCATGGCCTAAGGGTCATAAGAAAAAAGTTGATGAGGATATTTTAGATTGGCTTCAGGTTATGTTTGGTTTTCAGGTAAGTGCTGCTTCTGCTAGAGCTGTATGTGTATATACATGGATGACTGAGAAGTAGGGCATGGCCAAATTGCATATGCGACTGGTTGCATATGCGACTTAGAGATGAACAGCATTGCTCATTGCTTCTTGTAATGATTTTATTCGCTGAAGTATTATTCATCTACAGAAGCATAATGTATCAAATCAGCGGGAACACTTAATCTTGTTGCTGGCAAATGTGCACATTCGTCAATTTCCAAAGCCTGATCAGCAGCCCAATTTCATGGCCGTTGTATATGGTATACTAATCATAAGTAATGGTAAATTCTTTTAGCATGTAAACTGTGAAGTTTTAGCATGAAAAGCTCTAATTCATACCTATGGAATTCCCCGTTCAACTTTGTTTAGTATTTCGCACCGGACGATTTCTAGCTACTCGGTTAAGAATATTTCTTTTTATGAAAAAAAAAATTGCACATAAACTGTTTTTTTTTTTTAAATAAACATGGAGTGTTTGTGTGTGTGTGTTTGTGTGTTTTTTTTTTTAACAAGTGCTTATTACCAATAAAAGATCCCACTGAGTTGTTCACAGAATTTTTGCTCCGTTTGAATTAACTGTTTTTGGGGGTATTTTTGAAAAATTTTACTATAGCAGAGTTTTTATAGTATATGTTGAGATATTTTTAGAATATATTTCGGGATATTTAAAAGTAACAGAGTTTTTAGAATATATTTAGGGATATTTTTTAAACATTAAAAAAAAATTAGACTATTTTTTAAAGTACCTTCTAGAGCACTTTTTAAAATTTTTTTTTTATAGAATTTGAAAAACTAAATTTTGCAAAATTGATGGATCCAAACAGAGACATATAATGAAAATTAAAAAGAATACGCCTCATTGTTATTTAGACATCATGTTTTTGGTTCGAAAGTTGACTCGTACGAGTCCACAGAATATCTATCAATTGGAAAAGACCAAACTTTTAGGTCAAAGAAAAACAAATAAAATGTGCTTGCAATTATACAACGTTCAACCATCCCCACACAAACCTGATAACTAATCTTAGAAAATTGATAGTTCAAATTTTCCCAAATTGAGCTTTCAACGACTAATTCAATGCAGGAAAGAAGGATAAAGAAGTAGCAGTCACGAGTGTTGTCAAAACCCACAAGAGTATGAAAACGTTACCAGGATAACGAAACCCTGGCAGTCAATCCCAATTAATGAGACTCTTGGGAAATGCAAGAACAACGTCCAATTTCATTCAACATTATTGAATAGTCAGTCATCTACCATTTTCATTCCTTTAGCCCCTTCCATACAAATTACAATACAATCCGGTTGTGTTTTCCTTCTCATTAAAATAAAATAAATAAGAATTAATCTTCTTCTGTATATTGACAGTGTTACACACTTTCATCATTTTAGATGCACGACACATAATTCAAATTTTACACGTGTCATGCATCTAGCCGTAATAGTGTATATATATATACACACGCTGTCAATATATATAAGATTAACTCGTAAAAAAATAGAGGTGTTTTCATTTGTCTTTTAAAAAAATAGAGAAGAAAAGAGTACAAAATAAATAAAAAGAACCGTGTGGTATATTCAATAATCACCTAAAGATCTAGACGAGCACATTATTTATGATGTATGATGCTATGAGAAATCTCCACGTTAATGTAAAATATTGACGCATGTTTGTCAAATAAAAACTAGGAGAAGAAGAGACCAAAGTGACATCATGCTTAATCATAAATATGCACTACTATCAAAACGGAGGAGGAGGGGCGTGTATTTATTAGCACTTCCCATCCCAAGAGGAAATCCCTAATTCCCAAGCCAAAAGGACGGAACTAAAGAAAGAAGGAAAGAAACCAATGCAGGTCACGTGAGAAGTCACGTGCCCCCAGCAACGTTAGGAATCATCATCAATAATGAAGAATGTACTTGGCCCGTGTGTACTCATAATTGGTGGTCATAAAAGGGTTCCTCACTTTTCCAGACACATTCATCAATATGCCATCTTCGTCCCCCCCCCTAACACAACTGCCATCAATACTAATTCAATTCAATTGGCAAAGCCAATCAAACAAACAAACAAGTCGTCAGAGTCAGATTTCCCTCCACCACCCAACCCACAAAGCCCCCCACCACCACCACCACCGGGATCCCCCCCCCCTCCCCACGCCTCTCAGTCTCATCAATGTGGTTTTGAATGAAATTTCCATTAATGCACAAATAGACAACTTTCTTACAGTCATGCTTGAACCACGGCACACCAACACACTACATATACTATTGTACTCTCTACACTAACTGCTAGCTAATTGATGATGAGATAGCTACTGACACTACATATGCATCATATCCATCCTCAATCCAAAAAAAAAAAAAAAAAAAAGTAATATACATTGATTAAAGAAACTTCACATTAACACTAGTATTAATATTTGGTAAGAAGTACAAGTAGAATAAAGAAATTTCCCCAATTTTTTACTCCCCAAGAAAATCAAGAAAACAAAGGAACTTCTTGTAAATCACCACTCTCTAAGATTCTACCTCCTCCTAATGTTTTCTCTTTCTCTTTCTACTGCGCCTAAATACTTTATATAGAGTATGGAACAATAATTTAATACAACATCCATGAGCTAAAAAAATGCTCCAATTTGAGAAGGAAGAACCCTTCTTCCCCCGGAAAATGAAAAATCAATCAAGCCAACAACCAAAGATTTGTAGTATGTACACGTGAGGAGACATACCATCCACTAGCTGGTAAGGAGTAAATGCCAAGACAAAGTCACAAAGATTTTAGTAATATTAATATCTCCGACTAATAATACTAATATTAGTACTCGGGACCATTTTGGGATTCTTTTCTTGTTTTGTGTCCATATTTATGAGGCTGCAGACTGGTGGTGGTGGTGGTGGTGGTGGTGGGGATGGTTTGTATGTGCAGCAGCAGCAGCGGCAGCAGCGAAAGGGTAGAACCTTGGTCTAGAGATGGGAAATGGGATGGCTTTTGGAGCATTGTCACTAGTTGTGGTGGTGGCCGTGGTGGTACTTTTAACATTGGTGGCAGGCGTCGTGGTGGTGGTTGAGGGAACAGGGGCCGCGGCGGCGGCCGTGGTGGTGGTCGTCGAGGGGGCAGTGGAAGTTGTTGCCACGCGTTCACAAGAGGGACACATGGTGAGCGTGGTGGCCGGGAGTTGCATGTAGAATGGGTTGGAAGTCTTGAGGGCTCTCAATTCTTGCAGTTCCTTGTGCAGCCTTCTGTTCTCGTCTGTCAAAGTCTCGCAACACCTCTTCAAGTACTCGCAATCCACCTCCGTTTGCTTCAACTTTGTCCTGCAAATTTTACAGACAAGAATCATAAGAGGATCTAAACATGGATATTCAAGAAACTCAAACATCAATCACCCCAGAAATCTCACGCAAAAATAACAAAAAAACAAGACGAGAGACGATCAGAAAAGAGTTGGGTTGGATGAAATGTCCAATTAATTGTAAATTAGTACACACCTTGCTCTTCGGTTCTGAAACCAAACTTCAACCTGTCGAGGCCTAAGATTAAGCTGTTTTGCAAGCGCAAGCTTTTGCTTCTGCCAAAAAATCATCAAAGGCAAATATACATACATCAGAAACTAATCATCAAACAAGATTTTATTCTGATTTTTTAAACAGGAATAATAGAAAAAGGCAAAATCTATCCAGTTTTTTTTTTTTTTGTTCTTTACCGGATTGAGGGTGTTGTGCTCTTTGAAGCTTTCTTCAAGATAAGCAGACTGTTCTTTAGACAGTCTAAGTTTCTTCCGAGTATTAAGACCATTTTCGTCCTCATCACTGGCTCTTGAGGATGTTCTCTCAGCCTCCACGACGTCGTTTCCACCAGCAGCTCCGAAGTCCCTTTTGTTTCCACCATTCCCAAGATTTCCACCGCCTCTGAAAATGCTAAAATCCATCTGAAATGACGACGCCACACTGTTTGGCGACGACACCTCCTCCGCAACCCCACCTACCGCCGGCACCCTGTTCACGTCAAATCCCCTCCCCACCACCGGTAACCCCACGTTCCCCGACGACCCAGAACTCCCTACAAAAAAAAAGCCAAAAAGAAATAAATATTAGTACATCACCCACAAGGTAGGTAGGTAGCAATGGATAGTACGAGTTTTCAAGGCAACTGTCTTAAAATATATATCTGTATATATATATCCCACAAAAAATTCTTCGATCATCGTCATCTCTAGTGTGTTCAGAAGAAGTACGATCATCATCTTCATCTACATCATCAGCATCAGCATCCATACCATCATTGTCTTTAGATTCACTATTTCTCCTTGATTCCCTCGTCTCATTTGAGTTGTTGTTGATGCCCAAGGCCATGCAGAACCCTAAGCCAAGTTTAGCAGATGAGGAGGAATCTTTGTTGTTGGTGTTATTAGGATGGTTTTGTTTTTCAGACGACCCATTGGCTTTTGCTGTGAACCCAAACGGTTTTGACGGATTTTCTCCTCCCAAGCTCAGGCCCAGCTCCATAACTTCATAGCAGGAGAGCAAATGAACAAACACTTGATCGGTAGACCAAGAAAGAAGGAAAGAGAAGAGTGAAGAGGAGAGAAGGCCAGAAGGGAAAAAGGCACGCGGAAGTTGGGAAGGATAAAAGATGGAAAGGATTTTTGGATTGAATGCACTGGAAAGAGTCTTTATAGAGATTCTATCCAATCTGTGAATTCTTTAAATTATTAAATGCTGGTCACAGTGACGACGGACGTGGGATGGAGGGAAGGGAGGGATGGGGGCCCACAGGGAGTGTGTGACTGTGTGTTGTGCGGTAGGCGTAGACCCAAACAGCCCCTTTTCTTTGCTTCCCTTTCTATTTTGTTCTTTCTTCCTTTTTCTCTTCTTCTCTTCTTTGTTCCAATTAGGCAAATGTTTTTTGGTTTTATTATTTACTCTTCATTTTTGGTTAGAAGCAATCTTTCTAGCCAAGTGTCGAAATGAAAGTTGATGAAATTGGCCCTATTCAATCATACTGCTACTGTTCACACTCCTCATACCGTTTCTTTCTTTCATTTTCTTTCGATGTCACTCTCTATTACTACCATTTCTAATCATACAAATTAGACAAGGTTTTTTTTTTTTTCTTTTTTGGTTGCTTTCGTATATGTAAAGTAAAGTATCCCGTCAACTAAGCTGCTGATTACTTGGTTTAAATTCAATTATGTCAATTTTATTTGAGAAAACATCATTCAAAGTTCTAATATTACGATTTAACGGTTTATCTCCAAGTATTTGATGAAGGTGAATGATATTGCCAGAACTCAAATATTAATGCAATATCAATCTTTGCAAAAATAAAAAATTTTCGTTTTTAATTTGGGATTTTGCAATCCATTCAAAGCTATAAGTTTTATTGTCTAATGTTCAGTTTGGATTGTTATTTTTTGAAGTTTTAATGAAAAAATATACTATAATGATTTGATATATATATATAATTAAAAAATGTGTTTCAAGAAAAATGTTAATTATTTTTAAAAAAAAATTACAATCCAAACAAGGCCTGACTTCTGATATTAACGTTACCCTTTGATAGATATTCTAATGCTCGAGAGCGATTTATGAAAATTTGATCCTTAACATTGATGTCTAATATAAGTCTAATTAATTGCTAGCGAACCCAAATGTGAGAGTTTAGTCTAGAAAAAAAAATCTAATTCTCTTTGTTCTTTAAATAATTGAAAAAAAATAGTAGGAGCATCCAAAACATTTCATTAAAAGAGGAATACAATAGTATTTTTCTTACATGACGTATATAAAAGAAAAAAATAATTAAAAATGGGTTGATAATATAAACAAACAAATTCGTGCATATAATTTAAAATCCAAATAATTCAATTCGAGGTGGCAGTGGCATGTTAGTCTTTTTGGTGGCACTACTGAGAAAGTATTCGTGTCTTATGATTTGTGGAATTCTATGTGTTTGACCGACAAAAGCCAAGGTTGACAAACACACGTGAAAGCTCTATTGCTTTTTAAATCTTTTAGAGCGAGAGGCAGAAGGACCTTCCCTTCCATCAAGATCTTGGGGGACCCTTTGGTCCTCTTCTTTTCTTTTACTACTACTATATCTATATATATATATATCTATATATATCTATATATATGTGTGTGTGTGTGTGTGTGTGTGTGTGTGTGTGTGTGTGTGTGCATGCTTGGGTTTTTAGGCTTTTGGTTTTCTACCCATATTCGACTTTGAGGTTGGTTAGGTAAAACACTACTACTATTACCACTTGGATCAGTTTTTTATCGATGCAAGAATTGCTTTCTTGTTCTAATTCTTTGCCTTAAGGCATTATATCAATGGATGGGCGAATCTTGGTTTATTCTTATAAGTTGGGCGCCCCTAATGATGGAATGTGTGCAGAAATTCTGTGCATGTTTCATTATCATATCTGCCAACCCAAAATAAAATAGAATAGGAAGAGCAAACACTACTGAAATTTATAGGAGAGGTGGACTATGTAGCATATTAATTTTCCTTGATTATGCATTCAAATGTACGATGGCAAGTTGGGGTTTTTTTTTTTGGTTTTCTTCCGGTATATCTTGGGTTTTTTTTGGATAGAGTATTATTTGGAATAATTATTGTGGTACTTTTTGTGATGTGATGTATGTGAGATAAAAAGATAGTTGGAAATATAAAAAGGTGGATTGAAAAATATGTTTATGATGCAAGGGAAATATTATTTGGGATAAGTTTGCTATCCAAACAAAGACGGTCCGAGTCAATAATTTTCACTTGCATTGGATTATTTGGGATTAGTTTATGATGATTATTGAATTGGATGGAAGGGCACATCAATAATTTTCCTGGACGGAGTGCTTAGTACCAACTATAAAACAAGATAAAGATCCAACATTAATTGTCCCTATGTGCAAGGAAAAAGCGACTTAGTCACTTTTGTTAACCTTTGTTGTCTTTTGATTTGTACTTTTGATGTCAAAAATCATGCTGCTTTTTTTTTCCCCACAATTTACATGACTTTGCAATGTAGTTTAAAATTTGCCTCTAGAAACTTTGCACAATTTTTCATGCTTTGCATAAAGGGAAAAAGGTGAAATTGGTGCTTTTGCAAGTTGAAAGTAGAATGATCTACTTCATTCTCACTAAATTATCTATCTCCAAAAAGGGAAAACATAAGGGGTCCTCTTATAATTCAATTGCAATTGAATTGTCAACTTTATGCTCGTGGAATGAAACAACTTTGTCAATTCTAAAGTTAATCACAATTAAAGTCCAAATTGAGGCACTTCTGATGTCATCTAAATACAATTCACTCTTCAGAAAATTCAAACTTTTTTTATTTTTTCCTGAAAATTTGATTTTATGTGATCCAAAACTGGATCACCTGATTTTTAAGTTTCATTTGGATCACTAATTAACCTCTGCCATTACACTTAAATAACTACGTACGGGCCCTGAACACATCAATCTAATGTATGCTATATGTGAAATCGCTTTCTTTCTCTTATTCCTTGTTTGGAAAGTCATTTTCCACCAAAAATTTTATACGTTTTCGTTAACACATTTCTCAATTATCTTTTTATCTCGCACATATTAAATCGCTACAATATATTTTCTCCAAAAATTTCAAAAAATTGCAATCTAAACAGGAGTTTCACCCATAACAAGTAGAACCTAAAAACTAGAAGTAAACATTCATCTGGGCACCTCTAAATTATTAACCACAAATTACTACACAATATATAAGTTTTAATCGTATTGTTTCTTTACTTTCTCTTAAATATTTATTTTGGAAAAAGATAGGAATTAATCCCTAGGACATGACCCGGACAAGAGTATTTTTCTTCATTGGGCAAATCCTTTCTAATTATTTAAAAGTAATAAGTTTATCAAGCTATTTTTAGATGAAAAGATTTAGTACCTAAATTTTGTTTCTGTTGACTTCGACAAAAATAGCTACAATGATTGATTGATTTTTTTTACAAAAAGAAAAGGATTGATTAATTTTTAACTGATTTGACCATTATGCTAAAAGTCATTAATATGAGGTATTTGAGTGCTACAAGTTATAGTTTAAGGTGCAAACCACTAATTGATGACAGTTTAGAGGGTGCAAATTGTAATTAACCCTTTCCTTTACTGGTAAATATGAAACACTCTGAATTTGTGAATCCACCAGACCCTCAATGGCAATTCCTTAAGTATTAAAATCATACTCCATCCATCCCACTTTGATAATTCTGTTTCTTTTTTTATATAGTTTAAGAAAAAATAGTTAACTTTGTTAGAAAAATAAATTTAGATTGCTATTTTCCTAAAATACCCTCACATTAAATATGGTACAATTTTATGGGAACTTGAATTGATGGTAAAAAAAGAATCAACTCTCATTAAATGGAGTATATTTATAGTAACAACTACTTACATTGAATAAGGGTATTTTAGAAAAATTAAAATACAACTACATTCTTCAATTGGAAAGTAGACTATAATTTAGGACAGATGAAAAAAAATACAGGACAATTAAAGTAGGACGGAAGGAGTAGTTGCTATTTAAGGCTCATAAACGTGTTAAAGACCTAAAAAGTCGTAAGATTATAAATGCATTTAATGCTTAGTCTTTGAAGGTTATCCTTTTCTATTTAGTAGATATCTTTCCCACTTTATCTAAAGGGAAGTAAGGCAAAATGAATAAGAAATGAACAACGACTTTGCTTGTAGCAGCCAACCAATGATCACGAGGAGTCCTCATCAATGATCAAAGTCAATTTGACCTTGGCCACCACCAATTGACCAATGTATAATGTATTGTTTTCTTAAACCATATTTAAATTGTAAAAATGTTTGTCCTCATATTACTCCAATTACATCCAAGGTGAAAAAGATAAAAGGTTGAAACGTTACCGCAAGTCAATAGTTGCAGCCCACAGTTGTCCTCAAAACCTTAGCCTTGTTTGGCAGACAGGTTTTTTTGCCAAGTTTATCTGTTATAAGTTTTTTAGAAACTTTAGGGCTTGTTTGGAAGTGAGTTTTTTGGCCAAGTTTTTTAGCTACAAGTTTTTTAACAACTTTAGCTACAGGAACCCAAAAAAACTTATCAAATTTTTTAACGTACACACTTCAAAATATCTAATACACAAAAAACTTCTATCTTTCTTCTTCTTTCTCCCCCACCCCATCCACCATACCTTCATCGCCGGCCACCACCTCTACCGCCGTTTCCGGCGCCGGCCACTTATTCCGGCACCGGCGTACCCAAATTTTTTTTTTTCCTTCCTTTCTCCCTCCCTCCCCTCTCTGGCCAAACTCCCCCAACCTATGCAGCAACAGCGGTTACTTTCTTTTCTGCTCTGGTTTTTCTTTGTCCCTCCAGTAACAGCAATGCTACGGTTGACGGGGGAACAGAGGGGGTGGGGGTGGCGGGAAACGGGAAACGGGAAACGGGAAGGGGAACAGGGAAGGGGGAAACGAGAGGGGGGACGGCTGGTGGGAGGAGGAGGTGGCGTGCCGG